CATGTAATGGTTTATCATCAGTCGGCTAGTTAGATATTTCAGGCGTGAGTATATTGGCTCTCCTCTTTGTAGTGCAACAATCGGTTTGGGTGATGAACTCGATTGAATTGCCAGAGTTTCTGTGGGTGATGTCTGGATGTTTTGGAGTTAACAGGGAGCTAATACTGTCTTCATTTCTATCTCGGGGGTATATGCTCTCTTGGGTAGTAATTGTGTCGTGTATGTAAGTGGGGTTCTAGGGGGGGATGTTTGAACATGTTGCTTAAGTTTTAGGCCGTGGATCTAATAACACAATTTTTTGTAGTGGTAGGAGTGGAGGGAGTAGTGGGACTGGACTGGATAATAAGATGTTTTAATGTGCCAGGGATGATGTTGTATTTTGTATGATTTTTAATGTCTCAGGATTCTTTGTTATTGTTCGCGTGTCGTCATGGTTATGTTATTGAATATCCGGGATATTGTTGTGGAGAATACTGTGTTACCAGCCAAGTTTCAGAGCAGCTTTTGTAAAAGATTGTGTTTTTGTGTAACAAGCGTATATATTGGTGGCGGATCTTAATATATCTGCATGTGTTCTAGAGCTTGTTCTGATTTACATAGATTCCATATGATGATGCGTGGGTTGAATATTTACTAACTATTAACGGTATGGTTTGGATGGAATTATACCTGGGAGTTGGAATGTATTGGACATGTTTTTTTAGTAAACATCCAATTCTATCAAGTAGATTGGTATTGAACAATACCATTACACAACATGTGTTCCAAGTGTGAGCGATAACATATAATGTGAATTCTGTGGAACTTCATCTTGGGTTATATACCAAAGAAATTGGCCAGACCTGGCGAATTATATAATAGAGCTTCACTCATAGTCCCAACCCTCAAAACATTTTATGTTAAGTTGGCGATTTTAGATGTGTATGTTGTGTGTTAGTATCAGATATGTGACTTTCAAAATCATTTACTTTATTATTTAATAATCCGTTCTTAGGCTTCAATGATATATCAATAGATGGAGTAAATTTTGCCAGTTTGGCGTAGAATGAACAGGCCTAAATTATCCTGCGGCAGTGTAGAGGGTGTGGGTGTAACGATGATGAAGTGCAAAGAGGGGTTAATGTGGTATATTGCAGCTGATTGCGCTGGGTTTGTGTTGGTCGAGGATATGACAATGGGATGGGTCAGTAAAACGATGAACCGAGCAGTGCCGCGCTCAGTGCGAGCGGAGTGTTTGTGGTTTTGATTTGTATTTGAGGATTGTATTGTTTTGCTGAGATGATATAGGTTGTAAATTTAAGCATCATCTCATTTAGAGTGGGCGACTTATATATAAGGCCAGGAACAGCAATCATTCAGAGCCGGTCACACTCAGAAAGTCGTGGTTTGCGGTTTGTATGTTTTGGTGTAGAGATGGGTTGTGTGGTTTTTTGATCAGGTGTTGTGTAGTGTGTAATGTTCTTTGTTGAGTGAGGTTTTTGCTGGGGGGGTTTTTTGATAATTGGGGGAGAGAAGCAGCCACCAGCGACGCAGACAGATCACATGAGTTACATTTCGAAGATGTTGTATCTGTTTGATGGAGAAATTTGTTTTGTGAAAGACCGTGGAAGGAGAAGGCTGCAGGGTAAGGAAAATGAGTGGGTGAGGTGGGTTGTTCTCCTGTACCTGGGTATAAGTTGTGTGTGGCGAAGAGAAACCCACATCCCCGCGCGCCCGGCCATGGGGTGCGAGGTGGCACCTGGGTCGCGCTGATGGGTGCACCGGGAGTGCGTGACATGCGCGTTGAGAGTGCCGCTGGTTGGTGGTTGTTATTTGTGTCATGTATTTAGTGTGAGAGAAGCAAGAAAATGTTAGAACTTATGTCAGTGTAACCGGAATAGGTAATTAGTCTTGCGGGCCCGAAATAGAATTGTATTCGGGCTCATTTGAGTATGTATCGGCCAATTAATTTGTTGTTGTGAGTTCTTGGGATATCCTATTTACGGACATGGGCGCGTGTGAGTCGGGGAGAGAGGAAGAGCATAAAGTCCTTGGATAAGGCGGCAAAGTTTTCTGATGTAAAGCGTGATTATTATAAGAAGACAAAACTGGGGGTTTTTGTTCGAACATGTTGTGGGGTTTGGATATTGTAACTTCATTTGTAGTGGTGGTCGTTTCGCTGTTGGGGCCTCTAGCACCACTGATTGAGTAGGGGGCTGGAGTTATCTTTGGATGGCAAATTTGTCCTTTGTGGTTATCCGATCATTTAAATGCAGATCTCGTGGGGGACTGCCTTTCCTTTTCATAATTACGGGTTAATATTTACTAAAGATTGATGTGAGTTCTTATTCACTATACATGAGCAGTGAGTAACTTCTCATCGCATTTGTTGACGCGAGTCGGGTTGTGTTGTTTGTTGTGTATGTCTGTCAACGGCGGACTTGTTTAATTTATTCAGAGTTGCCCAAAAAGTCGGATATTAAGGCGACTTCTTCTTTCCGGTATAGACGCTGCAGCACGAGTATCCTGGATACATAGGAATTCTGAGAGATAAATATGAGTAGTACATGTACATGCTGCTCCTCTTGTACAGCGGCTTGATGATGTTTCCCTGTTATGATGTTTAGAATGAATGTATAAAAGTCCTCTTACCAGGCCTAGCTAAAAGCTTTTTTCAATAGTGGGGCCTCTCCTTTTTCATAGTCTTAAAGGTAGGATTCAATAGCTGATGGTATGTGACCGGCTTAGATAGCACTAATCGTTCTCTGATAATGCTGCTGTATTGGCTGTTTGTGGGTGGCTTATTTCATTTGTATGGGGTTCTGTTCAAGGTGCTAGAACAGGGAGCCAGAGCTCCTTCGCCATGTCTGACACATAAGGCTTCTCGCAGTTCCCCTGAGTGAACCTTGTTCCCAGTTCGTGGTTTCTGGAGGCATGTCTACTCCTTTCACACATGGATATGAGGTTGGGGTGAGGCGTTAAGGACATAGTCCTATTGATATAAGAGCTTAGTAGTGAGGCTGGATCAGGACGGTGCTTCTCTTCTCTCGCCGTCCTCGGCGGTGGGTGTGTGTGGTGGAGAGAGAATGTGTTGAGTTCCTGATCCAGCCCTTTTTATACTATAAGCTGTTATTTCAATATTTAGGATTTGTCTTAAGCTTCTTACTTCTTAAAATGTGGAGTGAAGGGTGTTCTGCCTCCAGAACCACATACTTGGAATGCTGGCTTCCCACAGGAGAGGAGCTTCGGTATAAGCTGAAGGTCTGGCCTCCTCTTCTGCTTTTAGAGACTATAGCGAACCACACCGTATCCCAGCATTCACGCGAGAACGTAGTGTTCCTAGACGGTTAATATGGTACTTATTGAGCTGCTTTAAGATATGAAGGGGCCTGACCATGAAAAGCTGTTTTGTAGTGGAGAGGAGGATTTTAAATTCTATTGTCTAATATTTTGTACAGGGGAAACCATGCATAGAAGCTGAGGTTACAGGAGAGATGTGATCTCTTCTTCTTTAGTCCCTGTCTGTCATTACTTCTGTGCTGTCAGGTTTGTAATTAATTGGATTGTCCTTAATTGGACTTTTTTGGGGAACCTGATAAGTAAGGCGTTGCCAGTAATCCAGGCCTAGAAGTACACAAATGCGATGGATTAGTGTTTTCTGATCTGTCTGTGATAGGATGTGTCTAATCTTTGTGAATATTACGTAGAGATCTTGTGATGTAAGTTAAGGCCAAGGTTCCCGGAGGATCTGCTTTGATAGGTTGGAAGACTAATGGAATGTCCGAATATTTTCTGATACAGAAGATGATAATACTCCAGGATGTTTCTGCTAGATGTGGTAGCTTAGAGGGTCAAGGTATGCTATCTGAGAGATTACCTTAATTCAATATCGTGTTGAACAGTTTTGTTTTTTCTGAGTGTATAACATCAGGAAATGGCATGGGATTATCCAGGACTTGTTATGTTCCTTTAGTACTGTAGTCCGTTCGTGTAGTGGATAAATGTCAAATGAATTGCT